TCGATTCACGAAGGGTACCTCCATATATCAAACAAGTCGAAGCCCTGAGGGGACAGAAGGATGATCTAGCCTTCATAGCCATCTAGTGGCTTCAGTGCAAGGTGTATAGGTAGATTCATCAATCATACCTTGCGACTTAGTCGGAGGTACCCTTCGTGAATGGATTGTCAGCTGGCCAGTGCAACTGATGAGACCTATGACAAGTCGAAACAGTCTGTCTTGCATCAGCTGACAATCGATTCACGAAATTTCCCCAGAATCTCTTAGTCTCGAGATTCTAGGTTTATCACCATCTGTTAGTGGAACATTAAACCACTTCGAGAATTACAGGTGTTGCGATAGTCTACAGAATCTGACATGGATGTCTTTTCTGTAAGCATATAGACGTATAGGGGTCTATATGCAAGACTTAGTCGCTAGGTATGAAATCTACCTATACACCTTGCACTTAAGCCACTAGATGGCAATGAAGGCTAGATCGTCCTTCTGCCCCTCAGGGCTTCGAGTCATCGTCATAATTGACATCAAATCATTTCAACAGTATTTGATACTTTGATAAAACCTTGGATGAGTTCAGTAGTATGCATTTATATGGTCTTGCAGAAACTTTCAAGGTCAATAAGTCCGTAATGAAGTGAAAAAGACATCCCCCTATATGAAGTACTAACATCATTTTGGCTCACTCCATCAACAGTATCATTTACTGTGATCACCTAATGATGGCAATATTCGTCAATAAAAATATACAGGTGGATTTGAAATCTGCAAACCAAATAGAATATCGAAAGTATTCAAGTAGTACAAAAGTTATATATTGAATATGAGAGTTGAAAAATGTTTCAAAGCAGGTATGGTCAAAGGCGTACTTAGAAAAAGTTCAATCGATTTTTTCAATAACAGTGTTGAACACATGTTCCACCTTGCATGTCGATTGAGGTTTGAAGATGATCAATTCTATTCATAAACGCCGATGTTCTCAGTGTACCTACAAAATTTCAGTGAAAGATTCATCAACAATACCTGATATTGAAGATATTTGTTAAACAAAATCATATCTTAGTTACTATTCCAACACCCAGTAGGTATGCCTCTGTCTGCCATGGTGTTGTCCTCCACATTTTGAACTGCTATTCAGTACCTATATAAACAAGTTGAAATATATTCAATACGTACACTTCGATCTCAAGACTTCATCTTATTACGTTGATTTCCCGATTTCATTTCGCAACTTCGACGCGGTCTGCCGGCACCCGGAAAACGGTCTGCCAATTGTTAATATATCTTGCTGATGTCCTGAACTAACATTACACATGAGTCCAAGATTGTTCTGATGACAATGATCACCTTCGAAACAACTTTCTTCAGACCGACCAGGCAAAATCGCTCCTTATTGTTCCACATCATAATTATCACCTTTTCAGAAGAAAATTGTGCTTGTCTCTACTCACGTTGGAAGTCATGTCTATAAGATGTTGGACAATGAGTGTTTTCATCAAAAAACACATAGTCTTACTGTGCATTTAGTACTACTTATTCCGGGACAGAATTGAACTAAAACTTGACAAGTTTGCTCCTAGATTGTTAGTTCACCGATGCATGCAAGTGGAACACTCATAGTGTGCAATGGATTTTTGGGCCTTGGAGGTGAATGGAAGAATGATAGTTTCGTAATGTTATTCATAGAGTCGTTCCTAAGAATCACTTTTTCGGATACGGTTGGAATACTCCATGTAAAATCTCAACTCCAAGAAAAGACCCAGCAGGCGCACATCTGAACGCATTATGTCGACTTCAGTCACTATTTGGTCATTGATTAACTAGAATTTGGAACATCGTGTTCTTGAATACTATTCTATTTCTCCGATAAAGTTCTTTCGAATATTTCCGTATACAAAGTCGAGTCTTTATGATACATCAAATATACCGGGCAATTCTTTAATGTTCCCCATTCCATATTCTCGAACTGATCAACTGCAAAAATTCGAACTTGAGATAATGGAATTGTGCATGAATACTATATTTTAAAGAAAAAATAGAAAATCCGAAAATAGCGACTGTGCGCCCTACTGGGGAAAAAAATTATTGGAAAGGGAGATGTTGTGACACATTCTCTTGAAGTTCCTGGGGAATACTACTAAAATATGATGTCGATATCTTCACCAACTACAGAATGGCAGAACATTCAATCAATAGTTGCCTCAATACAAACACATCAATATTGGTATTGTATTTCAATGAGTTGAAGCACCACCACGTTACTCCAGACAATTGAGGAATTATTTGGATATAATTTACTACTTGGTCGTTGAAATGTCCGTCGAGGTCAAATGAAATGGCCAGCCCACTCGCCAGAGTGGGCTGGCCATTTCATAGGGCTATCCTAATCATAAGTTGAAGGAAAGTGAACCTGCTCCAATATTGAATTTAGGAAAGAGGATGATGAATATTCGTAGAAATATCAACGTGTCTTCGAAAGTTTTTGAGTGAAATATCGGATAGGTTGTTCTTGTGTCAGGAAGTTAAGGGCTACTAGCTCGAGCACCTTCTGAACGGAACTCAGCTCATTTCTTCAGATCATTATGTTTAACGTCGATGTATTTGGACAATTATCAAAGTTTCCGCATTTTGAAGTCGGTGAAGATATTGACATTAGATTCTGAGGTTCTGAAGTATTCGTCTGGAGCTTCAGGAGGATGTGTCACAAGACCACTTTTTTCATTGAATTTTCTTCGTAGATAGCTCCCAGGCGCCATCTTGAAATTTTCATGTGGCAATTCTATTTAGACCTAGTATTCATGCATCAATTTATATTCCAAGTTCAAATTGTTTCAGTTGACCTATTCAGAATATGGAAGGGTGAGGCATTAACAAAAAACAAGTATAATCTGATCACGGACACGAATCCTAATACACAACACTTTTTATCACTGGAATTGGTTTATAGGTATATAATCATAAAAGAATAATAATTATATTATATAGGGTTATTTGGGATCATGATTTAAATAGTGTGAAATTTGGAGAGCAATGCGACAGTGACTGTGATCTGGATAATATATCTTAAAAGTATCTCTATTGACTATATAGAGAATACAATACAGGGTATGTCACGACAACCTCATACTATCATTATTTCGAGAATCCGTAACGAAAGAATATCATGAAAATTTGCTTGCTTATATTTGTCATCAAAAAGCAACAATTTCGTTTTTTCTGATAAGATACCCTATATTTCATAACATTTCAAACATACTTGGAATCTAGCGGAGGAGATCATGAAGGGTATAGGGTATTCAAAAACGAGATTTCACGACTTCAGGATTTTTTTGTGTTGAAACAATTTATTACCGGTCAAAACGACTTCCACGCTCCATATTAACTTTCGATTCACTATCAGCTGACATTCAATTGAAAGAGATACAGGGTAGTTGAAGATACCGAATTTTGATCACGCTGTATCTGATTCAATTGAATGTCATCAGATAGGTAGTCAATCGGAAATCAATATAAAGACATGTGAGCCGTTTCGACCAATGATGAATATTTTTGTCACAATAAATTATAAGGAAATTCAGATCCTGATTACCTTATATTTCCGCAGGTCCCCAAGTGTGATATATAACAATATGGATGAGAAAAATCAGCTCTTCAGGAATATAAAAATGCAATAGAAAAAAGAATATTCGAAATAACGAAGTTACTAGTGTTGCTACATTTTGATAGATGCAGCAACACTGCATGGTCGAAGATTTATTGAACGAAAAGAGCGTGATATCAAGTATAAGCATGCACATTTTCATGATCTTTCTGACACTGATTCTCGATGTGAAGATAATGTAAGCTCATCGTGACATACCCTGTATTTCATTCTGATCCTTCATTTGGAATAATATGAGGTTAACACATCACAATGCTGTGATTGTAGAAAAATTCTGTAGTTAATCACTATATACAGTATGATGCAAATGTATGGAATAAATTCATTATTTCAGAAATGGGCGACATTTGAAGAAATTCCAAAAACACGTGAGTTTTAATTTTTGAAGCCTCATCTCATGACATTCATATGAGAGATGTTACGTCACTGGTGTAGAAGTAATGACGTAATGGACGATTTTTCCAAATACAAGCAGGGGTCATGTGACACCTCGTTTGAAAGGTCTACTGATCGTCTATCCAACAGTCAAAATTTTGCATGAGAATATTGCAATTAAGATGGATTATCATTTGGTTAACTGAATCTTGCAGAGGTCTGCTACTGAGAATTGAACATCGAAGGGTCGTCTAGTTGAAAAAATACACAATAAAAAAAGTTCTAAACTCTAGTTTTTGGATTTTTTTCGGAAGTCGTCTTGTTTTGAAATGAATTTATTCCATACATTTGCATCATACTGTATATCCAACTTGATAGAGCATAATATTATTGGCCTGGATCACGAGAGTTCAGTTCACATCGAATTGAATTTTCAATGATGGTGATGATTCGAGAGATTGATCTTGCGGAACTCCTCAAAACAATTCAGTTCAAGTTTTCACTGAGAGCATATTTTGTTTCACTCATACAATCTATGTGATTGTGCTGATTATTTATTCAGGCTATGCAAAGTCACTTGAAACAAAACAGTACCGTGAACCGTCGGTCCCTTAAAAAAGTTCAATGAGACCGGCGGCACGCGCCGAAATTCCTTAGATAAGCTGTCTCAACTGATTTTGCATAAAATATACTAGACCTCATTTGCAAAATCTCACTAAATAATGACAAAAGATTCACTAAGATGCATTCGGAATGAAATATGGCAATCATTAAAAATACAGTTGAGCCATATATGAATACGTGAACTATTGGACGAATGTCAGCGTTCTAATTAATTGAAGTGATTTGTGCCGAAATTGGTATTCATGAATGTGATTTCTCATTTACCTGGTTGATGTTAGCTAAAGCATTTTGTTTTTATTCACAGGATGATGTGATCAACATTATTATTCGCCTTTGGAATTACCACTTGTCATCATTATATAACTGAATTATCCCTGAGTACGAGAACATCTGAAGAGTACTCGAATGAGAAGAAAAGCAGTATGTTGCCACCTGAGAACAAAGATTTGATTCCAGAATGTGTCAAGGATCCCATAAAAGTATACCGCAAGAGATGGTGGATTCTCTTTATATACAGCCTGTATGCATCTGCCAATGCGTTTCAATGGTTAGAATACTCTATTATCACCAACAGTGTGATGAAATACTATGATGTTAGTTCCTTGATGGTGGATTGGACATCACTCATCTACATGGCTGCCTATCCAGTGACTGTCATCCCAGTGTCATACATAATCGATGTCAAAGTATGTAGTTTCTTTTTCTTCAATATTATCGTTATAAAATCATGGTTTCATAGATGAAGATACCCAAAGTCATCTTCACAACATTTATCGGACGATCAGAGATCGAAATGAATGTTGTGGAAATGACTTTGGGTTTCTGCATCTATGAAATATACCCACTATACTTCGAGTTACCATCTTGGACTTCTTCCAAAGATTGAATCATGGTTTGTTATGGAGCACAATGATGAAAAATGTCATATCATAGACTCGTTGGTAATGACATTTCCGTGTAATCACAAGAAAAGTGCATGATTGAAAAATAACCACAGCGCAAGTCCACGGTAGAATTGTATACGAAGTGTTTTTTTTCTATTAGAAGAGAAATTTTTGCATCAACCACAGACAGACAATAAAAATTTCATTTTGATATAGTTATCATAGTTTGTTAAGTAGACCTATGTCAGAGAGGAAACCATCAGTGATATTCACAATATTACAGACGTCACCAAGAAGTGTTCTTAATTCCATAGTAATGTCATGTTTTCAACGTTCTTCAAAAGACATCGGACACTCCAATGAAAAGTGTTTAACTGACATTGTTACCATACAACTATAACACACTTCCACTTCACCTCCTGTCAGTAGTACTATACTCTGTTTATATGCTATCGTTTAAATACCTTCATCAAATCTGGTACACGTCTTCTACGCATCAAGATACTTTTTTCTGATGTATACGATCAAATTCATTTTTTCTTGACAAATTCATTTTTCTCTATTATTTTCAATTGACATGCGTTATTGAAATAAGTTCCCAACATATTATGACAAAATGTTCAACATTTACGTTCTATTTCGCGTTATAGAACTTAAACCTTCGCTGACATTTTGAATAAATCGTCAACATCTGCAGACAGTTTTCGAAACATATATTTTTGTATCTAGAATGCGAAATGATACTTTGCGTTTGAGAATGAAAATAATTCTGCCGAGCTTCAGCGAACTAGAGACAAGGCTCTTTTCGAGCGAGTCCAGCTCGATTATTTATCGTTTATGTTCGTTCGTGAGGACTCAAGAAATACTGCAATTGAATTGGTCGTTGTCACGTCCGTTTGTTGGGCCTAAATTTGTTGTGATTGAATTGATATAGAATTGACATAGTTACCTAGATATTATATGAACATAACCATTGTTACGATAATGATCTGTAGGAATGTTGTGTGAGAGTGATATCACTGTTTTATGAAACTTCGCTCCTAATTGAAGGGAAAAACAAGATCATGTGAGTTTTGCATCTACAATCCATAGTACATTGACGTCAATTTGAGAGAATCAAGTCATGAAACGTCTGTTATAAGAAACTGACGGCATATGTATGTTTATATTACAGATGTGTTTACTGGGCAGGTAGTACTGACGTCAATTTGACTTCACTCCATCAGACTATCTGCGATGGCATATTGTACTTAAGTCATGACGTTAATGTCAAAGATCAATGACGTCATTTTCATGGCGTCTTAGATATGTTTTGAAAGACATCTATGAAATGCCATTCAATTGATGTATATAAGACGGCGGCTCGGTGATCGAGAGCGTGAAGGCGCCGAGTTCGTATGGGGACTCCCACCGAGACATAGGTTCGAATCCTAGTTAGGCCATGGATGTTTGTGTTCGTATGCATACCTAACCCCGCACAAGTTTCGACTTATGGGGCGTTTGGTCCCAGTGCTGGGACCAACGAGGTAATGCAATTGCAAAAAAAAATTAAAAAAAAGACGTCATAGGAGTAACGACCTATTGACCAAATATATGACGTTACATCGACGTCATTATCTCACAGATAAGACGTCTCTTGAATTCAGCATTCAAATTCAAAATTCGGTTTCTGAAACAAATATAGGGATGATTCAAAGGTACTCAATGGATGAGAGAAGAACGGAAATATGTATAAATAAGTATATATTGACCATACATTTTGACACATTGGAAGTTTCATTATAAAAACATATATTGATATGATATGCACTGTGAATATTTTTCAGAAGCAGGGAAGAAAAATAGATTAATCATTTTTCTTGACTATTGAAAATTTTGTGAAAACATTTTCAATTCTCCACATTTTCATGTCTAATGTAGGTACCTGATTTGATGAATGAATCTTTTACAATGACAACATTGGTCATATCCGAGACACCGTCAAGATGAAAAGTGCTGTCATCGTTACGCCATGACCGAATAGAAAATGAAAGGCATTGCTTTTTCTCAGACATGCATATTTGTATCGCTATTGCCGCACTATATCAAAATCAAATTATTAGAAAAATTTCAAAGGTATGATGAGAGATTGATTTAATGAAGAACAATAATGACGTCGAAAGTATGTCAACTAGACGTCATCATATAGAAGTGGTGTTTCGAGCAGAGTAATTACGTCATTATTACGATTATTCGCATCACGTTGATTTGACGTCATAAGAATCGACCTCATTTGGACCTGAAATAGACGACATCAAAACGTCTCTGAAGATAACCCCACTACCCGGAATACTTTTTTACTGTCAAATTTATATAACCCAGTCAAGTGGATGTAATTCAATAATCTGCGTGGTATCAGCCAGGCAAGTAGTTTATTTTATGAACATTTGTGGAAATTACGTTCGGTTGGAATATTTATTCAAATTCCATTTGCCTACAAGAATCTTTCATCTCAGTGAATGAGTGAATATATCCACAGAAGACATGCTCAATTTTTCATTTTTATCAGATACGTCACTTATTTGACAGCCCTTGCAGGGAATAAAAACATCAACAAGTTTTTCATGAAAATGAAATTCTAGGTCAAACAATCAAATCATTTTATCAGGAAAATATGTGTCAGTTGTAGGAACGATGATATATTCATATTATTTTAAATCACAGAACGAAAGACTATTTTTCCATCATTTGAATATTTTCCTCGATACAAAAGGTCTTTGACAAATATCTTCTCTACTTTTATATGAACAATTATCATCGATTATAGGGACTGAGGGTTGCAGCTTTATGCGGTGGAATTGGGACTGCAATAGCTGCACTTATAAAAATATTCGCCATAGGAAGAGATTTATTTTATTTGGTATTGTTGGGGCAAGCCGTTGGATCAACAGCTCAAGTTTTCATTTTATCTTTACCAACCAAAGTTGCTGCTGTATGGTTCAAACCTAGTGAGGTGAGTGAAAATTCAATGAAAAATATTCCCACTCTATTATAGTAATCCTCTCTTACCAATAAATAACTGATATAAATATATCAACATCGAACATACTTGATATATAAGGAATGATTCACTTTTACGCATAGGTACTCAATTATATACATTTCACTTCTCTTTCACAAGATCACATTCATAGGCTGAAGAATACCGAATTCATATAAGCATTTATTTTACAAAAAATCAATGTACGCCACTGAAAACGGCATTTACCGAATTAGATCTCTACCAATAAGTTCCATGCAGAAATATCCAAGATTAGATATTACTGAAGCGTTATTTATCATGCATTGAGACGCTCCTGATGTTGTTATATTCACAATAGTATAATCTCGAGTATTAATAGGCCTCACAATTAATCTAGTCACAGATGACCACAGATTCTTCAAGATCTCTCGACTCAACTCCTCCAGATGTTCTGAGGAAATTGATGAAATGAGTTGAGGAATCCAGATTTTGAAATCATTCCATGTGTGGAAATTCAACATTATTATAGTAGAATATCTCCAAATGTTCTGAGGAAATTGATGAAATAAGTTGTAGAATCCAGATTTTGAAATCATTCCATGTGTGGTAATTCAATATTATCATAGAAGAATATCTTCATAGGAATGTCTTTATGGGGATGTCTATTATTGAAGTTACAGTGGTAATTGATTTCGTTATCGCATGGGTTACTACATGAGAACAATAAGATTCATAATGCATAATATTCAATGTTGAATATTCATTCTCGAAACTTAATGATCTATTTCAAGGGACGTCGATTTCAGGGGCGTATGCAGATTTTTTTCTAGATAAATCGCTTATATGGATGGTGAATTTTTCAGCATATGAATGTGATCTAGTGGGAGATGAATTCCAGAAAAATTGGACACTTTGCTCTGAAATACACCTCTTTGTCCTGAACATACGAAGAAAAGTTCGTCAAAATCACTATATAAATGAAATATTTTTTCTACTAACATAACTAAAATGGTACTCAGCCTGCTGATATTTACCACGCTAAATGACCAATACATCACAGATTGATGATCTATGATTTATTCAGAACATTCAATCCGTCACCAGGGCAACACAATTTCTTGAATAGATAACCATGGCAACGGAGTTTTTATAAACACACCTTCAGTCGGTTGAGTCCTGTCCAGTTCGGCCTGTCAATTGTAGGAACTGTCAACACCGCCAACTGACATTTTGAAATTTTCCTGCAATCAGAATCATGCAAACAATCATGTAAAATCATTCTTCGAAACTGTGCGAAATGTAGAAGAAAGTGAGATCGAAGGGAATGTTTAGGTAATTGCATATTCCCAAGAGCAATGTGTTAAAATGATGGTCTCATCTTTGTGGGCAATTCATTCTCCAGTACACTCGCTCCGCTATGCTGCGGCCGTGCTCAAAATACTCGTTACTAAAACTCCGTTCATAACCATAACACTCAGTACATAATATACTATATGAGGGTGACCCGCTTCAAAATGGGTCACTGTATATATGTACATAAGAAAAATAAATATGTCAATGTAACAAATTCACATAGCATAACTCTACAATGATTATTCTCATGCAAATTCATATATACTCACAAATTTCTCTCCTTCATTGTTCAATTATTTTGTCAAAACGTTCCAGACCTGAGTCCAAGTCCCACTAACTAACGAGCAGGACAAGGACACCAACTCTTCTGGAGCCAACATTATTTTGCAGGGGAAATTCTTCAAGGGTTGATGTTCAATGTGACGAGACCCTGCGGCGTTGAGTGAGAGTACCGCTTGTATTTATACAGTGAGGACGTAAATAATCCTTCTCCCCCTTTCACCTTCGAACGGAACAAGCTTTCGAAGTCGGGTAAAATTCAGGCAAAAAGGTACCTTTTTCACTACTATTTGGCATGAAAATGGTTGTTGTCACGTGATCTAGTGTCAAGTGGGCACCATCAACTTTTTTTCTTCTTGGAATATAAAGAGGGGTCACGTGGTACCTTGTTTTGAAGGCCATCCGATTATCTATCCAACTACGCCTTGTTTGTGCAAATCGACCAAGTCGTTTCAAAATAACAAGCCGATTTTTTCGTGTCAATAAGTGAACGATGAACATTTCGAGCTGTTTGACTTGTTTCAATTCCTACTCGGAATTCTGTTGCAATTAAAAGTTATTCAGGTTTTTCATCCGTTATTATTGATATTTGAAGCAAATTTCGAACGCTTGACATTTAGAAACGGCTTGGCCGATTAGTACAGACGAAGCGGTGTTGAATAGAGGCTTTCAAAACAAGATGACACGTGACCCCTCTTTATATCTGAAGAAAAAAGTTGATGGTTTCCACTTTCACAGTAGTTCACGTGACCACAACCATTTTCATGCCAAATAGTAGTAGGTACCTTTTTGTCTGAATTTTACCCGACTTCGCTAGCATGTTCCGTTCAAACGTTGAAGAGGGGGAAGACTTCTCAGGTCCTCACTGTATAGCTTATAGCTTTAATCAATCTTGATGGTATGATGCGATTAATGGAATATAATATTTCCACAAACTAGGCAGTTTCAGCAACGATCGCAGAATGCCGTCCCACTGATCTAAGTCGCATGAGGTTTGCTCTGGTTGGTGCTGAATAGCTCAAAGACGGCAAATAGGTCCAGAATTAAAAATAAGAGCTACGGTGAAAATTGACCATATCAGTTTCACATAAGCAATTGCGTATTCATTCAAAGTGTGTTACATCGTTGTGTCCGTAAGCAAATATGCTACTCAAACATACCACAATAATGAGGGATGTAATTCGAATCGAAAACTTAGTAGTATGTGCTGATGATGGGTGATTTGTCGAGAAGTAGTTTCAAAGACTTACCTTTGTACAACAACACACTTTCCCATTTGGGCCAAGTAATCCAGAACATTCATAGAACTACCTGTTTTTGAGAAAATGCGTGAATTAATGAAATTGGGATATTTGCTTATCTCATCATTCTAAGCGATATCAGTCTTGGTATTTGCTCAAAGATGAACAAAATGTCGAACCATCGATAAATGAATGAAGAGAAGTCATGATGTCACTAAATCGAATATTGATAATTGTTATCATGGTTTCAGGTATCAACAGCTTGCGCTATTGGAGTTTTCGGAAATCAGCTTGGATTTGCTCTTGGGTTTATCATTCCACCAACTTTAGTGAAGAGTGATGATGATTTAAATACGATTGCATCGAACCTGAAAATATTATGTGTGGGACTGGTCATTTACATGATTCCACTCATAGTATGTTTATTATTTTGTAAGTGTTTTATATTTGTTCAGAATTGAAATTCAGGAGTTGCTATAAAATATGTTCAATTTCGATATTTTTCGCCACCCATACCTTTGGAGTCATTTGCCGTATCGAGCTCAAATCTGGAACCAATGAATATTGGAGATCTTGAATCGAAAGTACATAAGGTGTTTTATCAAGAATAAGAAGACGACAACAATATACTGTCACATCCGAATAAAACACAGTTAATTTTATTTTATTTTGACATATAATTTGACACTTTCCATAACTGACGGGAGTTTTGAAATGTCTCACTTCACGTTACAGGTTGCCTGATGACATAACTGATGATGAATTATTCATATCAACAACAGTTGAGTGACGAAAGCATTGATTGAGAATAATGCATTTTGTGCTGCTTCCTATATATAACTTGGGAAATCTGAACTTGAATCAAATATTTTCCACTCATGCCAATATCAATCGGGTCCATTTCGTGGATTTTGTCGCTTATTTGCCTAATAAGTTTCTAATGTGAAGATTTTTACTAGCTGCATACACGTAACTGATCAATAGAATGAAGAGATTTTGTATTTGTAAAGCTGAAAATTCTGTTTTATTCAAATGTTCTCCTATACGAACTTTCAAAGGTCTACAAGTTCTACCTATGTATAAAGCTTCACAACCATTGCAATTTAATTTGTAAATACCACTTTTAGATAATTTATTGATTTTATCTTTAGAATTAACCAAATGTTTGCTCAAATTATTAGTGCTTTTGAAAGATATTTTGGTGTTTGTTAACTTGTTTTTGATGAAACTTGAAACTTTTTGAGAGATGTTTTCATTTGTGAAAGGTAGGGATATATATCTGTAAACTTCTTCTCTAGGATAAGTTAGATTATGTTCTCTCTTATGTTTGATTTTTTGAATTAGCTTTGGGATCAAATTTGGGTTGTAACCATTATTACATGCTATTTGTTTGATAGTATTCAGTTCTCTGTTGTATTCAGTTGATGATAATGGAATATTGAGAAGCCTGTGGATGTAGCAATAGAAATAGCAATAGAAATGTTTCAAAATTTTCAGACAGCTTTTCTGCTCACCTTGTCAATTCTTTCCCAAGCGCTTTTTTCATTATGTCACTTGTCTACTTCATACACATGTCAACTAAGTCATAGACATTGACACTCAGTCATTGTCAACATTTTACTAAGGTTAAAAATTATCAAACATTCTCCAGAATAAATAAGGTTGAGGTCCCTCGTGCTATTTCTGGACTTGAACAAAACAATCTCAACATGTATTTTTGAAAAAAATTTTACAATAACCCATTAGGGAACATATTTGTTAAATTTATGTCTGTTCATAATCCCGTTTGTACCATAATGATGTCTGTGATAACTAATTTTTGGACCTTTTTGTAAATACTTGACGAGTAAGTAATCTACCTTTTTCGATTTGTTTTTTGAAATTTCATAAATGTTACTTACTTGCAGGTATAGCACTGATGATGGCGTTTTAGCCGAAAGCGCTTTGCGATTTATAATAAAAAAAATTTACACGAAATACAAAATCTCTTCATTCTATTAATAAGTTTCTGACATAATCGGTAGAACTCGTGTAGAACTAGGCATAATTTCTGCTTGAGCAGAATTCAAAAAAATATTGTACTTGAGGAAAAGCTTTTGTGTAACTCTGTATTTTGCAGTATCTCGCTGCGCTCATTCCGCGTTAAATTACGCATTTCTCAACTGGCTACATTGATATACAGGGTATGTCATGACGAGTTTACACTATCTTCATATCGAGAATCAGGCGGAAGAAATCCATGGCAATGTGCAGGCTTATATTTCGGGATATGCTATTTTCATTTGAGATATTGATGACGATGCAGTAATGCCGCTTTCACTGGAAAGTAGAAGCAACATTGATGTATCAAACGAAATACCCTATTTTATGTAGCAACATCGATGTATCAAACGAAATACCCTATTTCATCGCATTCTCAAATTCTCTCTGGAATGCTGATTTCATCGATGTATCACACTTGGGGTCCATGGAGAAAGATTACACAGATATTGGGGGTTGAAAATATAGTAATTTTCCTAACAAGTGCGGAAAGTGATTTTTTCCCGCACGTGACTGCCGTTGACACGAACGACGCGAAGCGGAGTTCGGGCAAGCAGTCGAGTGCGGGAAAGAAACTTTCCGCATGAGTTAGGAACAATATTTTTTCTACAAGCGTATTGGAAATTGATTGAATCGTTCAATTAATTATTCAAGCAAATAGGAACAACTAACAAGAGATATATATTCTCTATATATTAATTATTAGTAATAGCTATTGTGAACTTACAGTTTGACGCATTATGTTGGTTCATTGCGGAAGCCAGCAGGCCCATTAGGAGTTTGGTCTTTAGGTTCCAGACACTTCTATGAAATGAGTCAAAAATACCTATTCTTCATTCGGTTTTTTCATTTCTTTATTGTTGCAACATTCAATAAAACGCGTGTATAGCTTCTCATACCTTTCTTAAGACTTCGTTGGTGATAACGCATCTGTATCAAATCCCTATAGCTAGAAGTTTTTGATCACATTGTGGCATATCCACTGAATCGAAAATGACAGTAACGCTGTGTCTGTCACTTCGACAATTTCAAACTTATTTGAGGTTTGATTGGCATGACAAATTGACGTTTCCCGTCAGATCAATCCAAATCTATAGGGGGATTTTTATAATAATCAATTTTTATTTCTCAATATTTCTTAATTTTTACAATAAATTATGCAATTTGATGAATGATTCTGAACATACATACTTAATACTGCAACAAACAAACTTAAACTTTTATATTCCATCACCAACTACTTATATTACTAGCGATTTTATCATATCTTTGTTTTCCCGCAGTGTTGCGGGAAAATGACACTTTCCAAACTAAATTGCGTGCGGGTATAGGGTGAATCACGCACGCTTGTAGAAAAAAGATTTTTCAACTTTAGGATTTTTTTGTGTCGAAATTTTTCATCATCGGTCAAACCGGTTCACATGTCTCAGTTTCCACTTTTGTTTCACTATTTACTGATATTTCGGAACAGATAAAGGGTGGTTCAAGATTCTACTTTTTGAAAGGAGCGGCAACACTGCATTGTTGAAACTATCCCAAATGAAGAGAGCGTATTTCAAAATATAAGCACGCATACTTTCATGGATTTCTCCCAACTGATTCTCGATATAGAGATAGTTTAAGCTCGTCGTGGCATACCCTGTATATCACCAACTCTGATGAACTTCTCCTGACTCGATCGACTGTTACGCTTTCTTTCTCAAGTCAGTACATTTCAGTAGCAACATGTTCTTCACAGTGAAAATCAGGGAGTTCTACAAGCTCAGTATCAGTATCAATATTCAGTCGATATAATTATCTTTTTTCCAGAAGAATTCCGAGCAAAATCAGTTACAATACCTTATTGAAACTTGGAGCTTTTATCCCATTGAGTTTCAAGACATTCGGGTGAATTCTGTTCGGATCTTGTTGTAACATTGCAAAGATAACAATATTGTTATGATCATAATGTAAAGCAATATTGCTAGGCTCTATTCTGTATTCTCTTTGGACAAAAACAGCAAGATTGGTTATGAGTTCAAGTGATAGCAATATTGTTGGAAATTGGAGAATTTTTGAGCTGACGACACCGTTTCTAACTCATTCTTTAAGTAATAGGTCACGTTATTGCCATTATTTCATGAAGAAGAGTTTATATCTAACCTCTCAAATTAGTCTGTCGTGCACTGACATTTTTCAACATTACATTATTCAAATTGACAGTTTTTTTGTAATTGCTGAATTTGGTCTTCGTTGTGCAAGTGGTGCAAGTAATCAATCATGTCCCCGAAATAGGAAACCAACCAAAAGACAGATGGAAATGATCGTCAATTTTTTTTTTCGAAAAAAACCCAATTCATATTATCGGAAATACTCATCTTGTCGGCTTATTCAAGCAAATCGCTTGATAATCTTCCCATCAGGCAAGTCAAAGGATTTGCCGGTTTCTCTGATGTTATGCCGAAATGGTATTCTCATAAATGAATCAAATATAGTTGGTCAGCCAAGTAAACCTATGTTTATTCTCATCTTTTTTCTAAACTTTTCAATAATTTCCTTGCAAATCGAAACTTTAAGGAAAGGTTTTCAAGTAGGTACTTAGTTTAGTCACACAAGTCAACTCTCATAGCATTATGTTCATAATCACCTATTTCCAAAATTTTCAAACACTTGGAAAAATTGTAGTGCAAAAACAGAATCCACTGCCATTTTCTACCTTGTAAGACAGCAATATCAAAATTGATGTTGCCGAGATAGCAAGAAAGCTAACAAGATGTCATTGAAATTGACAAATCATATAGTCAAAAATCAATGATTAGAATTTCACTATTTCGAATCTTGCATGATAGCAATATCATCTCGACAATCATATTGCTATATTTGCAAACAGAATCGATCCGATTGAATGAAATATGAGCGAGTATATTATATTCTAACAGTTATTATATATAAATATCATACAAAAAGTTATGGAAGTAAAGATTCCTGTGTTGATTAGGCATTAGGCATTACGATTTATTTCAAAATCGGCAAAGTGATACATTCGAGTAATTTACTAGAGTATATAAGGACGATGTCTATTTGGCCACTCTCCACTCGCAACGTGATAAATAAGATATAGTTACATCAGAAAGTAGTGAATAGTCTGAATCAATGTATTGAGATCTACCTATTCGGAGGTCGCGCTAGATATATTACCTACATAAGACACATCCTGTTTGTAAAAATCACTACTATTTCTACACATCCGTTGATATCTTCTTGCTTGAAGTTTCGACTCAGAAAAATTGCATTTGGTTTAGAATTTCGTAAAAATTCCACGACGATGATCTTCACCTTCATCTAGGTAATGCTCACTAGGATTTTGTTTAAGATATACAGTTTCTCGAGTTTTAAGAAAACTTCATCTTGACGACTTTTCACTTTCAGTTTGTCTAATATATGTTTGAAACAAAATGTGGCCGAAAACTACTCCTGTTTCTGTTCCTCTCGAATTTCCATTCATCACATCATTTCCAAAAAGTACAAAATTTCTTAGTTTGATGATAATACTCATGGAATTCTTTGTATCAAGTGAACGATATCCTTTGGTATCTATACGCAATATCTCACAAATATATACTCTTTTCTTTGGTCATCCCATTTGGTCCTGTGCATAACATTTGCAACTCAAAACTTCACTAAAACCAGTTTTTCGATTTGTCAATTGTACAGCTGAATTACAATCTCCAGCAACACACTTTGTTTTTGAACAACATGCTTACTGCATCATAAATTTACCCATTCCACAAATTGATCCATTGGTTTGCTCAACAATACCATTTCATTGTGTTGACCAAGGTACCGTCGTCCTTTTCTCCCAATAATTCTTGAGAATCTTTGTTGATGTATTCTTCACCTTTGTCAGTTCGTACAGCTTATATTTCCTAATCAATTTCATTTTTACAAAAGTCTTGAATTCTCTAATTATATTCTTCACTCCATTTTTATTCTTCAGGAATTATGCAAAAATCCTTAGAGTTTAATCATCGATGGAAATCAGCATGATTTGTGATGTTTGTTTTCTACGTTGAGTATATCCTGATTGAACACCTCAAGAAGTAACCCATCTTTAAAATATACCTGGTCAATCAACAAACATTCGCTGATTCTCCGAAGAAACATATGTTGATACACTAAGATTTCATCCAGAGAAGAGCCTGTCAAACAACACTTTACCACAATTCGTTTTTCCATATAACGGCAAAACATTAGAAATCTTTGCTGATAGGAGTATTCTGAAAAACTTTTAACCTTCAAATTTCCTCCATAGGTACGCACCACGTTCTGCTAAGATCTTAGGAATTCACTTCCGTGTGCTCCAAGAGATGAAAAAACTGTACGTAGGCAACATTCAATTACATAGTCATTTCGTGTATATTGTATGGCAATAAGTTGAGCTCCTCATAGACATGGTACTGGGTATTAATGACCTGAAACTCAAAGAAGCTCCACCTTGTTGGACAAGGTTGTCTCTTTATGGTTATTCACTCTGCTACAAGAGAGTATGGCGGTAACCCCTGCCTGAAATACTGTGACGAGTTTCATAGGGCGTAACTGAATACAACTTCTGAGGATTGCCAATGTTCCCCAGCTCTTGCTGATTCATTTATCCTGGAGCCATATGTGTACCAGATGATTTCATTGTTACCGATCAGGGAGTGCGAGAACTGCTCCCAGTTTTTTCTGTTCGTGATAATTGACTCAGTAATCATGCTGAATCTGATGACTGGAGTAGAACTGTCTCCTAAAATCTCAAGGAGGGGCGTTTTTTCATCGTCCAATTCCATAATCGAGAGAGTCCATACGTTTTCTTGCTCCACCAATGATTGAAGCATCACAGGCGAGCGATGGCTCATTTGCATGTTTCGTGTGCAATGGACGCTTAGGCGGCAATCAGACCTTCAATTTTCTCCAGTGCCCGTTTGGGTGCCGTCATCACTGCACTCGTTGAGGCAAGGCAGGCAAATCGTTGTGCCCTGTCTATTTGAGCTTCAGAATTGCCGGATGCTGTATCTTGCCATCATTCGATGACTTTGTACGTGATCAATAGAAGTACGAGAGTTGTGTAGATTCATTAGAGAAGCTTGAGAATGAGCCTCCACGTACTCCCAAATGATCTCCTTCATGCCCAGAACGTGAACCTGTTTGAGTAGGGAGGCTCATGGAGTAACGTTCTACTGTTAGAAGACATCTTCCAGATGATACATGATTACATGTCAAATTTCTTCTTACAACTATAATCTTGACAAATATGAAATCTAGAAGGTTACCTTCCTGGGATGATGAGGGTGTTTGAGAAAAGTGATCTGTTTCAAGATGAAAATGTTAACGTTCCACTTTCATCAGATAACATTTCGAGGTTAGGATGTTTGAATTAGTCACCAAAAGAATTTTTCGAATAGAGACTGCTGTGGATATAGGATGAGGAAAAATCGTCACCTCGTTGATTTCGCTTCGGATTTATTCAATATCAAATACTCTTTACAAGCACCCTGAAGAATTGATTCGTGATAAACAGGGTGTTTTCGAAATTGATACAATGAAAAAATGAAGTGTTCTTTGAGACATAATCACACGATGAATCACAAGAAAAAAATACATCTTTGAACCACTTTTTCAAGGTCCGGCAAATGTTATTGATACTTCCGGTGCTTGTGATCTCTCCGGAAGCAAACGCATTGGTTAAGCTTTTCACGTCTGATCAATGATTCACAAAAGTTCTAGGCAGACTTTGATTTTTCAGTCTTTTATCATCAATTTCATTTGTTGTCCCAATTCCAGAAACACCCTTCATAATCAGAATTTATTGTTTTTTGCATAGTTTTTCCAAAGCAACCACCTTCACCACCAAGCTATCCACAAGCTGAGGCGAGGAAGCAACTTGCACCAACATTTAGGGAGTTCATGGAAAATTTCAAGAAAGTCATCATGAAGAAAGGATTCATATTCCATATGTTAGGATATGGGCTGAACTATGGAATATTCTCGGTTGTGGCAACGCTTCTGAATCAATATGTTCTTCAGCATTTTCCTGTGAGTAGATATCATGGAAACTCTGAATTATTCGTTCATCACATTAGCTGGGTTGATTTAGAAATTTTCAGACGAAGGAAATGACGAGCTTCTGGTGTAGTGATTGAGTAGTTATAAAAAAAGGTGAAAACCAGAAACAAGGCACCTGCAAATCTCGTCGGAATTTGATCAGTTGTAGCTCTTGTATATATGTACAGTGCACATTTTGGTTGAGACTGTCAGGTTTCTTGGTTATAATTGAAAATAAAGCCTTGCGGGTTAACGTTCCTACACTACGGTTTCGTGAAACTGAAGATGGCCTAATCAGATTTTGCAACTATTTCCATTCAGCATATATGAAGCGATCTTATTTTAGACCCCTGTGGTGTACCAGAAATGCCACACAAACTTATATATTTTTGGATGCAGAACCCCGTATTCCATCATTTTTTCGATATATCATACTTCTGAACATAGGGTAACCAGAAAAACCGAAAAAAACTGGAAACATCATATTATGATGAATTTCTGCTAGTGGGCCATAGGATTTACAACTTCAACTTGAAGGATTATCATGTGTTATTCATTTCAGATATTATATTATATCAATAATATGCTGAAATTCATTCACATAATCATGAAGCAGGTACAAAAAACTATATCAATAGAGTAGGGATTCTGACAGACAGTGAACAAAAAATCAGTAGGTGAATAAACGATACTCAAGAAGTGGAGAGAAATTCATGATAATAAATTATGTAATAATAATGATGGTAATAAGCAGGTTAAGTTTATGGTATTGACAAGTGATAAACAGAATTGTCAATACAATAAGGTGAATATGATTTAATAATCAGATGAATATATAATATTGTTAAGATAGAGAGATGGAACACGAACAACAATAAATAAATAAAACTATCAAATTAGTTGCATAAACACTGTTATTTCCTTATAATATACTTAATCGCTATATTTCCACTTTTACATGTATATTATTATTGAGTATTCACACTAGTGTATATAATCAAGGATGTTATTTACAAAGACTGTAGACAGTATTATTCACAGTTTGGATTGTCATTCTGATTGTTCAATTCATCTTGATTTCATTATGTATAAATCATTGTCTTGGCGAAAAAAAAAAATGATTTCGATTTCCAGTCTCGATTTATAGACTATACATAGATTTTGTTTCTTTCATTTCTTCAGGTATAGCATGGTATAACTTGGGTGGAAAGTAGTTGTATGACCTCTAACGTATGAATTCCGCCATGAATGGTACGTTCCCTTCTAGATTGTGTGTTATAATAATTTTGTTTCGATAGAGTAATAGTCAGATCTATTTCTATGATAGTTAACGTTAATATTCAAACGGTCTTACGTCAAGAATCTTTGAGTCTAAATTGAGTTGGTCTGATGAGCATTTCGAATTTGCATTCAATAATATCCTGATGAATGTCTTTCACAATATCACAAGGGGGCAAAATATGTTTTTATAACTGTCTCTCCATCCTAGTCTGCCATAGTTCAAATGACTTTCTACCAGAGCATGACACAACATTTTCATTCGAGACGAATTCGATATATGTTTCAGCTTTTTCAATTTGAAGAAGGTTATTGTAGTTTTCTAATTATTGAATGTGTCTGGCTTTCCCATTTGAGTTGGGAATCTGATATCACCGTTATATATTTGATATCATTTCTATCCGTTGTGCTGGAGGTCTGGTTGCAATTGTTGATTTCAATTTCATTGAAAGTTGAGAGATTACGTTTATAGCAAGTGAGAGGAAGTGAATTTGTCTTTTCAAAATTATTTGTTGGCAATATATGATCAAACTTATTCTTCACCAAACGCATATCTTCTTCAATGGTTGATTTCAGTTGTTCCTGATTTTCTGCTTCATAAATGAGTACAGTATCATCAGCTAATTGTATTGCGTATCTTTGAATATACATCATGCTGAATGATTCATTCATTTAGAGGACAAGATCGGTTGAAGAACTTTACAATTTGGAATGACATCAAATTCTACGTTCATTTGTTCACTAAGCTTCACATGTTGTGTTTCATTTGAAATATATAGTTCTGAAACAGTGTCAGGCAGTTTCCAGGGATACCATATACATGGAGACCCATTATTCAATGAAGATTGAACAGCCTTCGTGAATGATGAAATAGCATCTTTTGTTTAAACCCTTTGTTCGCAGCCGAATCGATTTTTTGAGATGATTTTTCATTTTTCTAAAAGAGTTAATGATTTAAGATCGATGACATTTTTCGAGATTTCAGAGATATGTATCATTAGACTGATCAGCCTATAGTTACATACTACCTGTCAGTCGCCCATTTCAAATTTCGGGATTATCAGAAATTCTGTGAATTTTCCATCTCTGAGACATTCATCAAATATGTATTTCCAAGGTTTACTGGCTCACTCTCAAGCCAATTTGAGTACCTCAGCTTGTATTTATGATCCGTGCCAGTTGCTGTTTTGGTTTTTAGTCCACCTATGATTGTTTGTATCTCCTCAGTGTCGGTTTGTAGCTTGACCATTGAATTGGGATGTATATTTCGCGCCGGGTGGCGATTTTACTAAATATACTGCACGCTAGCACAAACCACGCCCACCATAATACGTCATATCTCCAAACATTACCGATATACTCGGAGTCAGCACATCGCACTAAATATACTGTGCTCCAACGCAAGAATACACTTTTTATGATTTTGACACGAATTCCACTGAAGCTCTCTCGTTGTCAATCTCTTGTACGCACTATATTCATACACCCAAATGGTCTACTGGTTAGCGCTGTCGACTTTCAATCTGAAGGTCCATGGATCGAATCGCTCTGAACTTGAACTTTTTTTTTTCACCAATGTTTTTTTACTTCATTCTGGTTTTCCTTTTTCATAAAATATTCGAAGTCAAATAGGTTAGTGCGTTTAGGATAAACAGTCTCTTTTTATTCAATTTTGTTGAAGAACTCAACTTTTGAAATGTATTATCAATCAATGTGTTTCTACACTCCATTCGGTTTTCCTTCTTCAAAAATATTGCAATCAGGGATAGGTTAGTTCGTTGAGGATAAATAGTTTCTGAGTTTTGCCTAAGTACTCCGAAGATGAGATATTACGTTGGGCGTGGTTTGTGCTAGCGTACAGTATAATTAGTAAAATCGCCGCCGGGTGGTAGGTATATAGTCTCTTTGTTTCTGCTCAGCCAGATTCGTGAAACAGTGATTGAATTCATTTTCAATTCGTCGGTTATAAGGTATCCATGTTGTGATTGAATTGTGTCTATATAACTATTTTTTCTTGGTTCGGCTGATTTCTTCTTCTGTTTTCCATAATATCTTGGGGTCATCTCCATTCCTCTCAATTAATAATATTCATATTCTGATTTCCAAATCATATAATTCGGTATATTTCAATAGTTTCTGTTATTTTTCTTCAATTTCATGTTCCCTTTGAATTTCTCAGTTTCTCTATATAACATATTCATTTTGAAAACAAATTCAACGATCCAATCCAACAGGTACTTTGGGTAGGTATTACTTAGTTCTGTTTTCTTCATATTTGTACAGGGTGCGCCTCTTAAAATAGAAACCCCCCTTAACTCTTTTGTTTCCAGAGATGTGAAAAAATATTGAATCGAAAAAACGAACTAAAATTTCAGTTCGTGAAGTCACTTCATATACAGGGTCATTCGTTTTTCCGGAAAAGACATTTACTTCGATTTTTTTAATGGAGCACCCTATATATTTTCTGACATGTCGATGAAGCCTTCCTTTCTGATTTCAAAAATATTATAGGAGTTGCATATTCGGATTAAGAATAATTGAGATATTGATTATCAAAGGTTACCAAGATACCGTATCTTCCATTGGAACTGCCTATTCATATTTTTTTGTATTGAGATCGAACGATTTTAATTTCGTAATAAACATAACTATGACATTTCCATGGAGCTTGAATAATATATAAACGTTATTTGAGAGTCATAATGGGGTATTTTGGTAAATTTTGAATCATCAATAACTCAACTATTCTTCATCCAAATATGCAATCCATATATATTTTTTGAAATCATATAAAACTACGCAATCGACATGACGTAAATTATATAGGGTGTTACATTGAAAAAAATCAAAGTTGATGTTTTTTCTGGATAAATTAATGACCCTGTATATAAAACAACTCCACGAATCAAAAGTTTGGGTCGTTTGACACAACTTTTTTATTCAACATTTTTTCATATCTCTGAAAACGAAATAGTTGAGGGGGGAATCCATTTTAAAAGACGCACCCTGTACATTTCTTGATATACTGATAACGAATTTCCGAAATCGGTCAAATATCAATTTCCGCCTATATATTGGAAACGGTTCGAGATATCGAAATGCGGTATTTACCAATCGACGTTTCACAAAAATCGAGCTCAAGTTCCCTTGGTCAGTTTTTCTTCAGCTGTTCTGGAAATAGTAGAAACTGTCAAAATCAAGCAATTCGAGACACCTTGTACATAGACATTAGTGTGATAACATGAGTATGGCGTTCATGTGGTTCAATGCGAGTATTACACGAATTGAATGATTCTGATTTTTCAGAATGGCGAAGAAGATGCTGGTCGAATGGGGTCTATCTGTATTATATGTGGAATGTTTGGTGTAGTCCTTGCTGGAGTTGTTCTGGACAAAACTCACAAATACAAGTAAGTCACATCGAATAATCAAATAAGATTTCTAATTGTTATCCTGCATCTTTCAGGGCAACATGTTTGTGTCTGTTCTACATGAGTATTCTGTCTCTGGCCTCGTTCATCGTAGCTCTATGGCAGCAGAGTATGATATTCACTTACATAGTATTATCAGTATTCGCGTAAGTACACAGATGAATCAAACTGTCAATGGAATATGTAAATCATTTCCTCCGTACAAGAACTATTGTGACTGTTGCCCTCAGGCTAAGCTATCAATGGAAACATTTCATTCAGAAAATTTAATGAGTGACTTCTGAACCATGGTATGAGCAGTGCCTGTTTTACCACGGGTCTTTTGGGTGCTATTGCACCAGGCGGCAAAATCTTCAGAGCGGCTATATGAAAATACAACTGCACATCTTTCGTCATCAGTCATTATCTGGATATTTTGATTTTTTACGCGAAAGATTTGATCACAACACTACCTAAACTGAAATTTATGTTAAGAAGTGAATCATCCCAAGGAAAGCACAATCAAGAGATAAAATACGGGAAGAAGTTCAAACCAGACAAAAAAATGGCGGACACAGTGTTTTATTTCAAGTTGCAGATTTGAAATTTTTCGTCGGACTTCCACCTACAAATCTTGTTCAGAATCATGTGACTTTCTGTTCAACATAGTGTCAGCAAAGGATGGAAATTTAATCAAATTGGCAACTGAACTACAAAATATGTATGTAGAAGATCTGGACAAATTTGTTTCTGACCAATATTATTCATCTGAAAAAAACAGTTCTCTCTCCTAGAGACTAAAGCAGAAACTCCTATTATGGAATTAGTCCAAGTTCCACACGAGAATAATGTAAAATAATATCTTCGTTTCTCAATATGTATATTTGTTTTCGAAATTTTTGAGCTAACAATTTTGTCTCAACTCGAACAAGATCTACTAAATGAAACTAATGTTTAGAGCTTGTGAAGAGTATCATACATAGAGGCTTGCATTGAAGCAATAAAACACATTTTTGTATTGTAACCTTATGTTCCTAGTTACGTACTTGCCTGTAATAATTTGATTTCCTTTTTTTATTCTAACATATACCTATTGATTTTTCTTGTTATTCATTATGTGAACACTATAGAGATATGTTTTTGATTTTATTCCACAACATCCTGGCCGTTACATCAAATTTTTCATTTTGTTGATCAAACTCCTATAAAAAAAAACTGGTGAACGTAGAACTTCTATGGTATAGGTACATTGCTTATATGATTATGCTGGTCTTATGGTACGCGGCACCCGGGACGCGAGTTTGCCGTTTTACTCCCATCCCAGAAAACGTCCAACGTGCCTATAGAATTTATTATTACTTAAAAAATGTGTCATGGGAAAAAATCCAAAGACCTGAAAGATTGGGGATATTTTTGAGTCTGAAGGGCGGCGCGTCCATCATAGCACCAGGCAGCACATCATCTTAAACCGGCACTGGGTATATGATATACACAGTATATCCTAGATCGGATATTCCCCCATATAACTGTCGTGCGATAGATTTTGGCTCTGGTCACCCATTATAGTTGATTATCATGATTTGAAACATAGTTTTCAGTATATTACTTGAATACCGTGTGGAATCGAGGATATCCATTCATTCTCGAGAACTGCTGATTTTCTTTTCATATTCATTATCGGTATGAAGATTACACAATATCTTCGTAGTTATTCTAGAGAATTCATCCAAACGAAGAAAATATATGGAACATATTGATGAGCCTCACGGGAATACAAAATAATATGATCTCAAATTTCAGGTACACTTCGGTATCACCCTGTTCAAAATTCCTATGATCGATATTATAATAATATGTCGATTCAGCATTATCACATATAGGCACCTATAGGTACAGGATGATCAGGGTACAGTTCATCCACCCAAGTGGGGTATATTTTATCAGGAATACTGGTATTATACTAGGTACTTCAGATTTCAGGGCCATCATTGGGATCTCGGAAAGAGAAACGAAGATGATTGAATTGAGGTGAGGATGCGCATTTATGTGACTGAAAATATTCCGTCGAGAAAATTTCAAAATTCCGATTTTATCCAGAGATATACAGAAAAATACAAATCTTGCAATTTTATTGTATTTTTTCTTATGACATTCACATTTACATTGCCACTGTTTCCTGCTCTAAGATGACATTTCCATATTCACTATTTAGCGTTTTGTTTTCACAACATCAACTGTATTTCTTCATAGGCGCCATATTGGTTATTTATCAATAATAATAGCATGGTGAATTTGAAAATGTCATCTGATAGCAGGAAAAAAGTAGAAATGTGAATGTTCTCTCGCTTATGATATTCTTCAACGAAAAATTTACCAACATTTTTGTTTCCTAGAATAACTCTGGAAATACTAGGGAGGTGACAATTTTCTCGACGCGGCATATTTCTAGTCACATGAATGCGTAACTTCACTCTAATTCAACCATATTCGTATCTCCTATAATTTCTGAGATCGCAAAGGCTCGAGTGAACATCATTTCTCCATATTATTTAAAATTGGGATTTTTTTAACCCTTTCCAAGTTCGAAATTTTCGATAAGTATTCCTATGGACTGAAGCCATTAACATTGAATACAGAGTTTCTATAAAAAACATTATCATCGTAGTTATATTCTTGAAGTATTATTCCCATTTGTTACTTTCTGCTTATTTCATCATATCAACAGTTATTGAAGCGATCAAACGGGTTGAACTTTGATACTCACAACTGAAAGGCAGAAAATCAAATTTCAAAATTCCAACAGCCATGAAGATGTTACGGCCCGGTGAAGGTGGAAAACCTTTCGTGTTAAAAATATTAAGTCTTCACTATTTCTTTGAATTGTTTCGGTGGAAATTTCCTGAGCTTTCTGAAATTAATTAGAGAAACTATCAAACTTTATTCGATTTTTAGCCGCAGGCGTCATGGAGACTGTTTATCTACTGACTACATTATTCTCCTTTCCATCATTCAGAATTTCTTGTATCACTTTGTATAGACTTCTTCAGAATTTCTTCTGTTCGAACACGATCACATATCTGACGACTATATACAAACAAGGTTGTTTCTCCGAAGAAGAATTCCAACTTCCAATTTCATTCAATTAATCGTCGAAAAAATGCATCATTTAGAATGAATATTCATAACACGAGTATCAAAGCCCTGAATTCGAAAATTCCGGAAATGTTTCGAGAAAAAGCATCAATCAAGAGGATACAGATGAGAGAAAGAATTCAAAATTTCATCTGTTCAAACGGTAAGGCGACGACCACGATGCAATTCTACACCCATTTAATCATCACCCTGTAGCAATGTTATCTCAAATCACAGAAGTTTCATATTGCCACAACAAACTGTCGAAAGATTAGGCTAATCATCGGTGGAAACCAATTTCAAATTGGTAGGGAAATTCGTGAGTTATTCTACTTTGAATTCAGGATATATTTTGGACCACGACGTTATCAATGTTGACCAGTTTAGTTGCCTGGGTTGAAGTGAAGGACAATACTGACTGTGTGCGCATAATTTGAATGAGTGTATTCTAGCTGGTTCAAAAATCAATTTATTTGGACAATGTCCACTCTCGAAGAGTCGTCTAGACTGTTACAGATATGGGTTGCGGAATGCAGGTTGGTGACTTCATACTTCCTCCTCAAGGGTTATTCATGTTTCTAGAGAGGATATATAACATATGTTTGATATAGAGCAATAGAGAGTGCGAATGGTTTACGAAACTGAAACAAATATGACCCAGATAACATAATAGACTGCTGTTATTCACTATTTCACTTTTCTTGAAATTCTCACATGATCGGAGGAATCGCAAACCAGAAACAACTTATGTTGGTGTTTCCAACCATATGTAACCATGGATAGCAAAGGAGAGTCTGTCAATTGACATATAATAATTATAGCTGTAGAGGTCAGAATGAATCGCATGATTATCATGTTTTCTTCATTTATAATAAAAACTCTGTTCTAAATATCTTCTTACGATCATGTTTTCCATTGTTTCCTCAATAGCGTTGTCATAAAGCAATGCCACTCGTCCCGACTGATCGTGGTTTTGCTCTACAACACAATTTCGAGAACAATGAAGCAACAGAATCATCTCAAATTTTCAGAAATTGAGCTTCCCCGAATTCATTATGCTTTTAAAAAATGCTCACCTTGTTTCCATTGTACTTTCAGATTTTTCAATAACTCGTACATCACAGCAGGATTTGAATTCGCCGTGGAAATCACATTTCCCCATGAAGAAAGCACTGCCACTGGGATTCTGAATGCAGTTTCGCAAGCAGCTGGTGTTGTCATACTTCTGGCAGCAGGAAAAATCAACGAGAAATTCGGTTCTCTTTGGTCCTTGATATTCCAACTAATTCTCATGGTGTTAGCAGCCTTCCTAACACATTTCGTGCCCAACGTTATGAATAGACAAAATGCTATCGCAAAAAACAACATCAAAACAAATGAATATGTTGTTATCGCCCAGAAAAGATTTAATGAATAAATTGTAAATGAATGAGTATAATATAATATTTTATAATGATTGAATTTGTTCCATTCATCACCTATACAGGCTCCTGCATCTCACCTCCCGGCTTCTTCATTTCAGTTATCAGTTGAGTCAGGATTTTGATAGCTCGCAGACCTCAATGGTCCCATAGGGCGCATACCAGGATTTCAATTATACAGGGAGTCCCAAAATAGTGTGACGTCATAATGATATAATTCATTAAATGGAATGCCATATATTTTGTTGCACATTTGAGTGCTTTCAGTGGTAACCTTCATACTCCTGGAACTCAATGGAAATCATTTCAGTGATATTCACGTAAAAAAAATATAACAAAAAAATCAATTTTGCACCACTGGCCAGAAACATTGATAACAAAATGAAGAGTGCCTGGTCGATAGAATCATGAGAGATACATATCAAATGAGGCCTTAGAGGATCGCTAACCGAGTTTGATTGACACGAATCATCACAGGGTGTGCAAAATTTCGAGGCAAACTTTTCAAATTTCAAAGCACTATACTTTTCTTATTTCGATTTGGAGCCCCTGTATATCTTCAAGACATTCGATGGGTGAATAAAAAACGAACTTTTCTTTTTATGAAAAACCTATAAGAATTTTCATCGTATCAGAAGCTATTTGCTGAAAATTCGTTTCATCTACTATTCTTACAGTCATTTGGGAGAATAAAAAACGAAGAAGGCTTTGTTAAACAATTTCTCGAAACAACATATCAGAAATTCAACAGAACTATTCGTCTGAATCTGATACACATTGAGAAAGGTAGAAAATCATAGTAGTTCTAGTAATATTTTTTTCAAGAACAAACAAATAGGAGTATTACCCTCGGTATTACTTGAATATTGTAATGTATGTTCGATATGTCTTCCGTTCTCTTGAAGGCGCAAGCGGATACGATTATGGAATAATCTTTCCAATCTTCGTAATAGGTCGAGTGTGATGGTTTGAAATTCGTTGAGGATTCTTTGCTGCAACTTTCTGGTGTGGTAGGAGGTTCTTGTTGAACGATATCCGAAACATAGGCCCACAAAAAGGAATCCAATCTGGTTAAGTCAGGTGATCTGGGCGGCCGCTAACTCTTCTAATCCACCGATCTGGATAGGTTGTGTTGAGATGGTCCTTGGCTTATAATGGATAATGTGCTGGGGCTCCATCATGTTGTAACCTCATTGCATTCCTCACATCTATTGGTTGATTTCACTTGAGTTTGGCAATAGGTTTTGCAATTAATCCAGATATGAGGAGCCATTCAAATCCTTGTCAAAAAAGTAGAAACCCATAACATGTTCACCTATAATTCCTCCCCACGCGTTAATTGAACATCTGTGTTGTCTATCAATCTGCCTAAAAACCCTTGGACTCAAGTTGATAGTTGTGACGATTCACACATCCATTCTAATGGAAGGTGGCCTCATCAGATAATGAATCCTTATCAAAATAGTCGAAATTTACTTCAATTTCACCTTGCGCCAGTTGCAGAATTCGACACGTTTCTCAAAATCTTGTTCAAAGAGTTCTTGATGAAACTGGATATGATATGCATGGAGACGGTTGTCTTTTAAAGTTCGTTGAACAATGCTTTCGCTAATGTCCAGGGATGAGGGTTATAATAACATCCTCAACATGGTTTTGTCTAAGTATTCGCAGATGATCTATCAAGGTAGATTGAAATCTTTCTACAGGTGAGTTCGATCAATGGTGAAGAGGCGTGGTGAATTGTGAATCAACATCATTAGTCTCCATTGTTATTTTTTCCGATAGTCCGTAAAAGGAAAAATAGTTGACTAGAGCTTCACAACTTCCTAATGCAGTTTTACTTTTTATGGGTATCGCCTGCCCTACCATAAGAAAAAACGTCAATTAATGTGACAAAATCTGTATCGTCGAAATTGAAAATGTTATCATGCAAAAGTTGAAATGGCATTCCTACTGTTTTTGTCAAGACTAAAGGGACATATTATGTATTTTTTCGAGTATATTTTGAAGCCTGACACATCTGGCAATCATTTATATATTCTGAAACATCATCTTCAATATTCTCAATATCTCAACAGTTTTGCTTATACCTAATGTTGTGCATTCGATGAATTTCAATCCGGATTCATGAAAATTACATTTGTATATTTTAGATCATTGACGTCATATGTATCAACATTAGAATGTACTGTTTGGGAAGGGTCCTCGTCAGGATCAGAATTAGGCGGTCTATTTTCATTGTCGTTTGATGTATTTGTATGTTGTTCGTTGTAGTCTATGACGTTTCCAGATCAATTTTGGTAGTATGTCTTGGTTTATTTCTTTTGAGTTATTAATTTTTCTCTTGTTCTCTTGATCATTTGATTGAGTTTGCGACAGGGTGTCGGATTGCCTTTTATATGGATGATTTTGTAATCAAACTCTTCAAATTTCAGCCTCCACCTTCCTAGCTAGCCGAACTAATGGACTGTGGTCGGTGTACATTTTTTATAGTCTGTCATACAAGTATGGCCAGAAAAATTTGCTTGCTCAGACTATCGAAACCAATTCTTCCTCCATAGAATATTTGCATTCACTGGCATTCAATATCCCAGATGTATATGCAATAAGCCTGTCGTTTGGAATGTTGCATTGAGACAGAAATTTCTCCAATAGCATACTCGCCGGCATTCGTGGTGAAAATGAAGGTTTTTTCGAAATCGGGAAATATTGGAAACCAAGACTTATTCATAGTGTTCAAAAGCGATAATGAAATCTGTAGGGTGAGTATCTCAATTTTTTTTTCAGACAAATCGTCAAAGTTTTTGTTATCTTAGTGAAATCCTTGATTGATCTGCGGTTATATTCCGAGAATTCTGAGAAATATTTAATTCCTTCAGGAGCTCTAGGAATCAGGATTTGTTTCACAAAGGAGATCTTTTCAGGATTTGGTAAAACTTCTTCTGTAGTCATAACGTATCTGTGAGGTATCGAACTCATTTCCGTAGAAATTCCGATTTTTCTAGTTGTAATTTGAAATTTGATTTCCGGAGTCGTGTAGTCAATACTTTTCTTTGTCAGTGAATGTGTTCTTGTAACGAAGTGCTAAAAACGAGTATGTCATCGAAATAAACTAGGCAGATCTCATTCTGCAGGCCCCGTGGAATGTTATCCATCACACGCTGAAATGTTGATAGTGCCTTTTTCACCCCTTCGAATTCATTGAGATTTTTTTCCGTGAATATTGCAGTTTTTTGTATGTTCCCTGGTTGCATTTCAAGTTAATGGAACCCGCTTGCCAAATATTGGGTAGTCAAGTACTGAATCCTACCTAATTCATCGAGAATATACGATTCATTTGATAAAGGATATTTATCGTCAACAGTTCGTTCAATTAGCTCCCGATAAACAATCACCATGCACTCTTTGCGTCTGGACCGGCAAGATTCTGAATTATACTCTGTTCAAGCATTCTCGATACCTGACCTTCGACTTCGTCTTTGTGTACTTCGGATTAGCAGTAACTTTTGGAAAATATTGGCGTGTCGTTCGTCAGTTTGATGCAATGTCGTATCTAATTGATAATTAGTAGCAGTAAGAGTTTTCTCTAATCTCAAGACATAACTTCCCCATATCATTAACTTCTTCAGAATTACAGTGGTCGAATCTCAAATTCTTCTGATTGTCCTTCAAAATACTATCGTTTGGAGCGTCATTGGTTTCACCGACCTACATGTTATCGCAAAAATTGACATCATTTGTTGTGAGTGGTAAAATATCAGAGGGTTCGTTAATTCTGATTATAATCGGAACATTATGTTAGCTAGGGTAATATTTTCCATATTGCTCGTCAAATGTACGTTTTAAGATTCAAAGGTTCACGTATTTCGCGAATTTTCAGAAAAATTATTCACTCCCCCAGTAGCGAATGTATTCCAGTTGAAATCTCCATCCGTATATTCAATGAGAAAATAAAAGAATATAAAATCACCATCCACGTGATCTACGACAACTCGGCCTACTGCAACACCTCAATAGAAAAAATATTTGTCCTACGACCACCTATGAAAACAGCACAAAACACATTGATTTGTTATTGAGAAAGTGACTCGTTTCACTATGACAACAATAACAGTCAGGAAGTTCGAAATTAAAACTCACATGGGTGGAAATATTCGAAAATTGCACAGTAACATGGTCTATAGATTATGATGTACCAATGAATGATTATTATGCCAAATTATGGTAAGTTAAGTTATGGTCAAGTTAATGGGGAATTAGTGTCGATTCAACATGAGTTATTGTCGTTAATGTTGACGTAATGTTGAGTTGATGAAAAGTTGAAATCAAGTTAATTTCAATTGAAAGTTGAATCAATGTCAATGTTTTGGCAATTTAGTGATTAATGTGAAGTCAATGCCAATTTGATACTGAGTTGATGTTAATTTGATTCAAAGGTAATGTCAAGTTAATTTCGAGTTAAAATTGATTCAATGTTGAGTTAATGCTGAATAATTATTGAGTTAATGTTAAGTTGATGTTAAGTCAATGTTCGGTTTATTTCAAGTTTATGTTGAGTTAATATCAAGTTAATGTTGAGAAACTGTCGAATTTATGTTGAGTTGATGTTAAGTGGATGTTAAGTTGACGTTGAGTTGATGTTGAGTTAATGTTGAGTTCATATTGAGTTAATGTTGAGTTAACGTTGAACTAATGATGTCATTTAAATATTGAAGTGAAATGAAATAATAATGATAATATAATCACCTTCATGTGATCGAATATGATTAAAAACACGATCCCTACTCTGGTCTCATAAACACTCATGACATATGATATAAATATTCGTGGTCGTTGGAAAAATAGTGTACAAAACTCGTTGGAGAGTGCATTTCCTGCGTTCGTTTCGTTTCCGCACTCGCCGCTCTGCGGCTCGTGCTAAACGTCCACTTGCGCGAAATATGTCACTTTCCACACTAGTTATGTAATATACTATTTTTGAACACTATCATCTGAGATATTATGTAAGGAAGAT